TAAAGTAGGTTTACGATCGAGATGTTTACGTGATAACGTCTTATTGGTGATATAAGTTTTGTTTGTTGCAATTGTTGTAACACTTCACTTGCACTTCACATTTTGTTTTACTGTTAAACATTCAACGAAAACTTAACCGCACGAGAAAATCTCCATTCGTTTGTATGCCGATAGAGTGAGAGAGACGGAAGATCGGTCCACTCACTCGAACGCTATGCCTGCCTCCGCTCGTGTGGATTCCGCGTGTCAAGTTTCACGGAATGACTGGCAGCGCTCGAGATGAGACGGGAGATCGGTCCGTCTCTCTCTCCTATACCTGCTCTCTCTCTTATACCTGCGATCGGCCTATTGAGGCCTCGTGACACAAGTTTCTGAACATGTCACCCGACTAAAACGATTTTAAAGACGTTATCACGTCAAAAATGAATCGCAAAATCTGTTGGTAAGCGCATAACTCAACAACGCCTAGACCAATTTTGCCAATTCTTTTTTTAAAATGTTCGTTAAAGTCCAAGGATGGTTTTTACGGCGAGAAAAATTCGAATAATTGCCGGGAAAACCCTATAGACAGCCCTTTTCTATAGGATAAAAGTTGGCATTGAGATTCAATCATAGTTATAGTTAAATTGTTAAATCTCAGATGGCACGCTGAAGTGCATTATTAGCAATCCCTACTAATATTATAAATGCGAAAGTTCAGATGTTTGTTACACTTTCACGCAAAAACTACTTAACCGATCATCATGAAAATTTGTACACATATTCTTAGTGGTCCCCGAATGGTTATAGGCTACTTTTTATTTAATAAAAAAATTATTTTTTAAATAAAATAAAGAAATAGTTTAGCCAATAATACCTCTGCATCTGGCTATTTCTCAAACCTAAGTACTATAGTACCCAGCGGCGTAGCGTGCCTTGTCGGGGCCCCGTATAAAATTTTTTTTGGAGGCCCATATATGGAGGTATAAATTATTCACAAAAGAAAAAAAATATTGTGAGAAGAAATATTTATTTATCACATAATTTACCAATTTTACAAATAAAAATCGAATTTTAAATATTCACTCTCCTTGCCTTTTTTTCGGCAAACTGATTTATTAAATCATTTATGGCTGATGATGATTTTAGTTTTTCTAAAGTTTCTGCCTCTATGGACAATAGTGAGATGTCTGACAGCCGTTCTTGTCCAATCGAAGTTCTTAAGTAATTTTTAATTAGTTTTAATTTTGAAAAACTTCTTTCTGCCGTTGCGGCTGTAACTGGAAGGGTCAAGAATAAAAAGCATGTTGTGTTTACCTCGGAAAAACTGGATGCAAGACTATTGAATTTTACTAGCAATAATTCAATGAGTTCTTTAATGGAAGAAATTTTGTGCACTTTTTTTATAACCTGGTCCCTTTTCTGTTTAATTTTTCTTTTCTCAGCGCCGCTGGGATAATCTCTTTTCCTTTCACTCATTTCTTTTACAAATCGCTACTAATACTGCTAAACCAGAAGAACAATATTGTTTGTACTGAATTACAATGTAATGCACATTTATATAAAGCGCGTAAATAAACAGTGCACTGCACTCCGTGGTTTAACATCCAATGCAAAGTACAACAACGATGTACGTGTATCGCGATATCGATGAAGGATTCCCGGGGATTCCCCGCTGAGTTGAAGATGAAGTAAGTAAAACGGGGTTCCCGCAGCCCGCCAGTACGATGTAGTGTTGCCAACTTTTGAACGCACGCTTAAGGCGGGAAAAAAAGGAATTGCTTTATAGAATTTTGTCATTTGTAAAAAAAATGGTTGTTTGTAAAGTAGGTTTACGATCGAGATGTTTACGTGATAACGTCTTATTGGTGATATAAGTTTTGTTTGTTGCAATTGTTGTAACACTTCACTTGCACTTCACATTTTGTTTTACTGTTAAACATTCAACGAAAACTTAACCGCACGAGAAAATCTCCATTCGTTTGTATGCCGCTAGAGTGAGAGAGACGGAAGATCGGTCCACTCACTCGAACGCTATGACTGGCACGGAATGACTGGCAGCGCTCGAGATGAGACGGGAGATCGGTCCGTCTCTCTCTCGTTATAACGAGAGGGGGTACTTTAACGCCATCTAGCATTTCAGCAATGAAGCACAAACCTAAGTACTATAGTACAATCACACTGTATTATCACACTGTATTACCGACAGCTACGTCAACATCAAATCCAATTGACTAATACTATGGAGACTGTACACTATACTTCCATAGACTATACTTTCAGCAATTTTAAACTTCCCGCCATTCTACATCATTGTTACTTCTTCTGTGACTACAGACGCGTACGGAAGCAACTTCATTATTTTAGATATTCGCGAGCGAAGCCGCGGGTTAAATCTAATTCTTTATATAACTAATTTCTTTAAAATATAATTGCAAATCTTATTGATAGAATTGACACTAGAACAAGAGAGTAAAAACGAGATACATTTTTATAAAACACTACCGGGACAAAATCGCGGACAAAAGCTAGTATTTTATATAAATCATCAAAATATTAAATAAATATTAATTAAATTAAAAACTTTTGCAATGAAAATTTCACCATTATTAATGCCTGAAATTTACGACCGCTAGACTAACGCAAAACGCAAAAGGAGCGCAAAGAGGACATTTGCGATGTGTCGCAGAAAGTGGCTTTCCTCTATGGGTAAATATAATAATGAGGGTCCTTTCGGGCGTGCGTCCCTCGCACAAATTAAATAACTCCAAACAGACAACTCATTGTGTGTGCGCCATGGTTCCGTCAATGAAGGGAAGCTTCTGTCGCAATTATTTACGACCCACGGGTAATTAAGTCATTTCAATGCTAATATGTCCAAGTTGTGGGTGTTTATATTCTCCATCTTTTAATACCTATATTTAGTTAAATATTTTACGTCAAATTTATCTTCGTAGATTAATATGTGTTATTTATAGAGGAAAACATAAATCACTCACCGGCGATGCATAAATCAATGTGGATATTGACATGCATTATAAAATTGATATTAAAACACTTTAATAATGAGATTATTTGAAATTTGATGAATGTGTATAAAACATTGTGTGTTGTGTTGAGCAAACCGCATAATATCGAAATTAGCACGTTCGAAAATTCCGCCCCGCGATTCGTGCCGCAATTATTCGATTATGCGTCGCGTGTTGACGTGATCGAGTTATCTCCTGATTAAAATTACAGCGTTGGGCGTAATCTCCGATGCATTGCATCATAATCGTTATCCTGCATTCCTTGATACGATTTAATTAACTTTTTGATGCATTTAAAGGTTAATTTCATTACAAAAACTGTTATGCAACCAATATTACACTTATGCAACCAAATGTCATACGTTTATGTGCAAATAATCCTTAAAATTCGCTTTAAAGTAAAATAAGGTTAGGTTTTTAATTAATTTAAATTGTTTGTGTAATTATCCGCCCCATTTACACAATTAAATTCTAATCATACTAATGGATACAGTGGAATAAAGATAAATGAAAGACAAAACATTTTTTGCGTTCGAATGTTTATTGCGCGCATAATTTCCAACCTCTGGTGTACGTTTCCACTCGATTGTTTATTTTCCGCGCCGGGTCTTGTTTTGTATCCGCGCACAAAGTGTGCATTTCCATTCCATTACGAGTACGGAGCGTACAACTTTTAACATTTAACATTTTGAGCAGCAATTTTACATCCGCGCGCCCGACATCTGCCATCTGGTAGTTACCGTTCGACGCTTCAAAATGCGTCAAATGGATTGCAAACGTTCTGCTCGCGTATCATGTAGTAAAACAACGAGAAAACGTGAAACGCTTTTGCTGCTAAAATCGCTGCAATAAAAGCAGTTCTGCAAGCACTAAAGGTATCAGCTTGCACACTATTAGTTTCACGAATCGTTTCGAAACAGTTACAAACATTTGCGTACAGCGAAAAGCATTTCAAAGTTTTACGTTTCGCGAACTCAAAACTAAGCAAGTTAAGCAATCAACGTTTATGGCAACGTATTATTTTTGTTTTTAGTGCTTTAAAACATTCAAAAAACACAAAAAACTTTTTTTATTTTTTATTTAGGGTTACATAATACCTCAATATGTTTCACGTTGAGTTGGTTGCCTATGTTACCGTCCATGGCAGTGTCATAACCACACACGTTCAATGTCAGGGTGAACATGCCACCGGAGCACGGATTTATGTAACTGGGTCGCCCTTCGTCGCTCCCGCCGCATCCATTATTTATCAGGGCGAATGTTTACGTTTATCAACTGCTTCGAATCGTGCGCACGTCATGCGAGGGCTAAGCGAAAATGCGAAAGAGGAAAACCGGCGCGCACGCCACACCACGTTCACATCCTTAACGATATTCAGCAGCGTTGTCATATTAGCAAGATATTACAGCTTTCCAACACCAGTCATCGTATGATTAAATAAAACGTGAAAACAATGTATTCATGACGCATACAAACACTGATTTTAGTCGTACGTTGACATTGTGGCGTAAAACTAAAAATAGACGCTTTGGATAATTTAATTAATGAGATAAAAGCTGACAGTGATTGATTAGTGACGCAAAAATGAGATAATTAATGATTTTGCGCAAATAACAAAATAAATTTTCTTCGACTTGAATTTCTTCGCATCGAAGTAATTATTCTACGCTGAAGTTGTTTAAAACTTTAATTGTCGATCGATTGCGCCATAAAAATGTACCAAATTTAGATTAATTAACACTTTATTTGATTAGTGAAGCGCGCGCGTAAACTTTTCATAATTAGCGAACGGTTCATTAGGTAAATTGCATTTGCGAGCAATAAATCATTAACTAACATGCGGGCGACACTAACGCTTTCCAACTTTAAACCCTTTTGAACCAATAAAAAGAAAGTTCATTATTAATTCTTAAATTTACGTGTCTAATGTATTTTATAAGATGATTAATGTCATGTCACACGATTAATGATTGATTATATCGATTGTTACAGGAGAATTCGTCGCTGATCATACCATGGATCATCGGCTTCATCACGTTCATGTCGTTGGAAGCTGTCGCGATGGTCTACTCCAATGTGCTGCGTGATCACGTCAATAAAGTAAGTCGTCTGAACAGTTTGATTTCCAATCTGGTTAAGCATTAATCAAATAATGCGTTGAAAACAGAAAAAACGTAAATTTTGCTGCAATTTCTCTGAAAATAACCTAATTTTATAGGTTTTATTGTGTAGGTATTAATTTTAGTTCAATTCTGCGCCGTAGATGGCGCTGGAGGCGCTTAATCTACAAAAGCTCTATTTCCACACTAGCTATTTGAAGATTTTAATTGAAAAACGCTAAAAAACAACGAAATCTCTTCAGAAAACAGAAAAAACGTCAATTTTATGACATTTTCTTTAAAATTATCCTAATTTTATAGCTTTTATTGCGTGGTTACTTATTTTAGTTCATGTTTTACGTCGTAGATGGCGCTGAAGGCGTTTAATCTACAAAATCGCTATTTCTTTACTAGCTATTTGAAGATTATAATTGAAAACGCAAAGAAAGCAATGGAATCTTTAAAAAAAAAAAAACAAAAAAATTTTACGACATTTTTCTCCAAATTAACCTATTTTTATAGCATTTATTGCGTAGCTATTAATTTTAGTTTATGTTCTGCGGCGTAGATGGCACTGGAGACGTTTAATCTACAAAAGCTCTATTTCTACATTACCTATTTCAAGATTTTAATTGAAAAACACAAACAAAGCAATAGAATCTCTTTAGAAAACTAAAAAAAAACGTAAATGTTACGACATTTTCTTTAAAATTAACCTATTTTTATAGCATCTATTGCGTAGCTATTAATTTTAGTTTATGTGCTGCGCTGTAGATGGCGCTGAAGGCGTTTAATTTACAAAAGCTCTATTCCTACACTAGCTATTTGAAGATTTTAATTGAAAAACGCAAAGAAAGCAATGGAATCTCTTTAGAAAGCAGGTGTGCGTTTGCTAAGCTGTGGGCCAAAGCCTGAAAGGCGAAAATTGAAATACGAGAATGCCATTTCGCTGCGCCCGAGTATAACGATTTTATTAATTTCGCCTCTCGTCGACTTTTAATTAAAATTCTGCGCCTTTTGAGCGCGCGCGTTTTCACCACCTGAACTTGCAAAAAATCAACAAATTAAACAAAATGATGAAAATAGAAAAAGTTTACAAAATACGAATAGAACACAAGTCGCTGAAGTGAATCCACCTGAACTGAACGATACTGTAAATAATGACGCAAATTGTCAATTAAAATTTATATTGCGCTCGGCAACTAAACGCAGCAGATAACGAAAATATTTTCGTTTTAATTAAAATCGCTGCGTCGTCGCCGGCGTTGTTTATTCAATGCGCGGATGATACCTCCAAGCCGGGGATTAACATCGGAGTAATATCTAATTTAACGAGACGCTTAGAAGGAACGCCCCGAAGGCTGATCGTTCGTGAAAATTACAGAAAACCCAAACAAGATAAAATGTTGCGCGAAGTGACAGAGGTTAATGGAATGTTTTACATTTCTTGTGAATAAACAATGCAATAAACCTAAATACAATTATTTACGAATTAATATTAATTCATTACATTACTGCGTAATTCTTCATTTGGTGGTTTTCATAATTAATGCGCAAAGTTTTCGCAGGTGTTGAGAATTGTGACACAGCTTGCAATTTGTTTGTGTTTTTTGGACAAAAGTTTCTCCAAGTGAATAACTTTGCTACACGTGGGAGACGTTAATTTCCATGATAATTTAATTAAAATTAACAGTTTATTACTTTGATTTATAAACACGTTTCCAATTCGCGAGCGCAAAAAGTTTTAATTGCGTTCTCATGTGAAAGTGCTCCATTAGTAGATATTCGTGTATAAATCACCGTCGACATGCACGTTTGTTAACTAATTGCACGCGTAGTGCTAAATTTACAAAATTTCAATTTCAATCCGCGTGTATTTTACTTCGGAAGTTTCTAACCTAAAATATGGGCCATGTTTATAGGCTACACATTTCGTATACAAATTGGAGTTTGAAACAGTTTTCTACGGTGTAACATCAGTCATTTGTTATGCGCTATCTGCACGTACATCTCAATTTGTTTCCATTGGTCATTTTGCGCACCGCAGGCAACACACAAAGCTTGCGTAGCTATTACGGAGATTTGGAGAGCTTTACGTGCGCGGGCGCGACGCTGATCTCTTCATTCGTGCCGGGCGCGCCGCTTATGGAAGTAATATTTATGCTCGGGGGCGGCTTGCGGCAAGCGGCATTTATTCACCGCAGAAACCAAACGGCAAAGTGGCCCTCGCCCGAATCGCCATAATAAATGTATGGGTGAAATATAAATGGCAGCTGGGAAATGAGAAAAGTGGCGGTTTCGGCTCGGGGGCGGCAAAAACAACACCGAAAGCAATCTTACTCTATGGGGTCATATTAGATTGTAATCTTTGTGGAATTTTTCGCTGTTTTAATAAATTATTTTCATTTTCAGCAATTCGACACTTTTTGTAAAGCCGAAGTTGCCTTCTTCATATCACGAACACTAATTAATGTAAGTAGAAACCATTTTGAATATTACCATGTGAATTGGCATGAATTCTGTGAGTGTTACGATGCTTGACGCGTCGTAATTAAAATCCTTTGATGTTATTAAATCCTGCAGGACGCCGAAAGCTAAATAAATTCTCCAGTCAGTCAGTCGAATAAAATAAGCGCAAAAACATATACGTGGAAATTTATTCCGATTATCCCACGCTGGGAATTTAATTCACTCAGCAATGCGCGAAATAATTGCGCAAAACGATAGTTGCATATTGAATTCCCTCTACTTGGCATGCACAAACGTGGCGACATAAATTCGCCGACAAATGTTAGGGGGCTGCCGCTGCTGCTGTGCTGCACGCTGAAATTCAGACGTGAATATGCAATTAGCATCCGCCTTAGTGCGTCTTAGCGTGAGCCGTCCTCGGGCGCACTCCGCGCAATTAATGCATATTTATTACATCCGCACCGAGCAAAGGGCAAGAACAAGAGGAGCGTTTCGCCAGCGAATAGCTGAGTAGGTATTTCTCGTGTTATAGTGTTACTCTCTCTTAAGTCGATGCGAAAGGAGCTTAATTAAAGATGAACACAACAAAAGATACAGTTTTGGTTTAACTACCAACGCCATCTACTTATGAATACATTAAACAGTATTTTATACTTGGAATTCAGTTAAGTTTGCGTTGCGTTGTGTAATAACCTCAAATTTACATTATTACACTACAGAAATGTTTGTCTTTGTGTGATGAGCTCGCGAAACTCGCTTATAATTGGAAACTTCGATTTGATAAGCACGTCGCGCACGTAAACATTGCCATCGATGTGATGGAGGTTGCAGGCATCGAGAATCATTGTCATGCATGAACGCTGCGACGCCCCGTGGCGAACGTGCAAGATGATGTCGACTGGGTAAACATGGCAGACATTGTAAATAAGCCGAATGGAAAGCGGGCGATAGATGCCTGCAAGATTTTGGACGGCGGACGTGATCACTAGCCACCGCCGTCGACGCATTTCAATTCAGCCGCCGAACGCTATCATTGTTTGGTAACATATTTTGGGATTACGTTTGAAAGCTTTCGCTTGGATAAGCACGTGTTAGAGTTTAAGCAGCAAAGCTAGTGTTGGAGCTTAATTATTCACAGAGTGATGAAGAAAATTTCAAAACTCTGCAATTACCAACTTTGGTGTTTCATTAATAAACGTGGCAGGTATTTGATATGAAGTGTGAAGTGATGGTGTAATCAAAGTGCAGCGCGAGCATTTTGCGTTGAGATGAGCGTAATGAGTAGAGAAACAGGTGACCTGTGCTATCTAACTAACCAAAACTGCTCCTTAGCACACTCTGCAACGCTGATAGTGGAGGTTAATGAGAAGTTGTATCGCAAAATTGAGTACCAGCGGTAACAAGATGAGCTTCACCAATTTTAGAACGATAATTATGCCTTGATCGAGTGGTGCTGACATACAAACTCTACGTGTATAACTGGTTGCCTATATTAGATTTTTTGTTCACTGAGACATAATTTCCTCTTAGGGGTTTCAATTGTTACTCTTAATGATTTCCTCCCAACTCCCACCCACTCTTATGCCATTACTGTTGCTGACAAGCATGTTGAGAATCTCGCATCCCGCAAATGTCCCGACATGCATATTAATGACGACCGCTCGATAATTAATAAACGTCCCACGAACAAGCGGGCCATTTTGCAGTCGGCGGCAGGATGGCCTCCACAAGTGGCACAATGTTCAACCACACACGATGTGCGCTCAAGCACCATCAGCAGAAGATACGAGTACGTCTGACGACTTCATAAATGCCCACGCGAACTAATATATACCTCATACCTCTGCTCTACGTCAACCATTAATGAATACACAAAGGCGTACAGTGAAGTATCAACGCAGGGCATCGAAAATGTTTGCTCTAGTCTTCAAATATGGTTAGAATTTCATAGAATTCGAGATGGATTAGAATAACATGTGAATTAATAGCGGATTGAATATTTTCAATCTACAGGAAATTCTATATACTTCACAATAAAAAACGGAAAATTTTAGTTTTTAGTTTTTATCAATATTTTGATTGCGGATATCACGTAAACTAAAAGTGATAGAAAGAAACGAATTAAAAATTCTTAATCTACGTAAAATCACTTTTATTGTTATTCTTGTACAGTGCACAGAATGAGAGTCAATAGTGCCCTGAATCTATAATATAAAAATGAATTACAAAATTTGTTGGTAAGCGCATAACTCAACAATGCCTAGACCAATTTGGCCAATTCTTTTTTTAAAATGTTCATTAAAGTCCCAGGATCGTTTTTACGGCGAGAAAAATTCAAATAATTGCGGGGGAAATCATAAAGACAGCCTTTTTCTAAAGGAAAAAAGTTGGCATTGAGATTCAATCATAGTTATAGTTAAATAGTTGAATCCGAGATGGCGCGCTGAAATGCATTATTAGCAATTATTTATATAATTTCTTTAAAATTAAATTGCGAATCTTATTGATAGAATTGACATATATTATGTCTAGAACAAGAGAGTAAAAACAAATTACATTTTTTATTTCAATGAATACCAATTCTAACCTCAAAAATGGTTTCCGCTTCTCCAGTACTCTTGTACCTACATTCCCCGCGTTGTATTCTATGTGCTCCTGCGATGCGTGAACATGTGTTTCGTGTTTTGGTTACGCTCGTGGTATTACATGTTACACGCTTCAACATGCTCCCCAGAGCCGAGATTGAAAGGAGTTGCGGTTCAACTGATGCGACATTACACACAGGAGCACATAAAACGCACGTGTTGCTGATTTATCGAAACGAATCACAGGCGTAGGCGGCGGCAGCGCAGCCGGCGACAGATGATGCCGAGGATGATAAATGAACACTTGATTAAACATCAAAATACATAAATTTTATGTGAGCCACCAGTTGAGAAACTCCAAGCTTCAAAGGATCAATCAAAACACATCTTTTGAAATTTGTTATGAAATTATCAAAATTTCACGTCAAATATTTGGAAAATATTGTATTTATCTATATTCTCAATAATAAATCAGAGTTTTTGATAAATTTTTGATCTTTAAAAGCATGTTTTTATTCCAAGTGCTATATAAACGAGGGATTGAACCATAATGTGGTTTGTGGGTTCAAGAAGCGATTATCGATATTGTAAATCAGATGAGAAGTGGAGAAAACACCAAACGTTTCGCTGAGAACCTCCCTTGAGGGTGAGATTGCAAGAATAATGATGGGTGCTAGCGTGCAACTGTCATTAATCATTCCTATCAATAACATACGGTTGCGTTTTTCCTTCTTTTCCTGTTTGCTTCCTTTTCGGCCAGGATTTCGGCGGGATTTTTTTGTTGTCGTGCCAAAAAATAACAAATCCACAAGAATACAATAAAATTACAAACTTACGAATTAATATCACGGACACGTCCTTCAAACAACAAAAGAAAACGCTATATCTTTTAATATAAAAATAAATCGCAAAATGTGTTGGTAAGCGCATAACTCAAGAACGCGTTGACCAAATTGGTTAATTCTTTTTTTATAATGTTCGTTAAAGACCAAGGATGGTTTTTATGGCGAGAAAAATTCGAATAATTGCCGGGAAAACCCTAAAAACAGTCTTTTTTTATAGGATGAAAGTTGGCATTGAGATTGAATCATAGTTATAGTTAAATACTTGAATCCGAGATGGCGCGCTGAAGTGCATTATTACCAATTCTTTATATAATTAATTTTATTAAAATAAAATTGCGAATCTAATTGATAGAATTGACACATACTATGTTTAGAACAAGAGAGTAAAAATGAATTACATATTTATTAAACACAACCGGTACGCACTCGCGGGTAAAGCTAGTCGTTAATAAAAATGTAATTAAAGCATTATTTTAGTATAAAAATTATTTTGAAGTAAATAAAATTGAATTTTAATGAGTAGAAAATGTAATTTTTTTATAATTGTGTAAATTTTTATAGAATTACCAGATTTATTTAATATTTTTTGTAATGTTCTCATTACGATCCTGTAAACAAGTATTCCAACTAAAAAACAATGTAATTGAAACGCGACGTGCGTGAAATCTAAAATATCCGACTTTCCCGTCTGGATTTTTTTTTCGTTTTTCCGCAACGCCAACACATTCAACGCGCTTTTAATAAGTTAGCGATGGTGACACTGCAGTGAAAAACAAAACACAAAATCTCCTGAGTATGTGTGCGCTCCTGCAAGTAGAAATTACGAAACATGTGACACCGGCGAGCAAACATTGCAGGAGCAAAGTGTCACTGCCACGCAGACAATGCACGAACTTATTAGAAAACAACGCGCGCGAAACACAAAACAAAAAACAACACCGAGCGGAAAAAATACAAGAAAGATGAGAGAGAAAAAAAACAAGCTAACAAACACGAAAAGTAGCGGAAACTGCACGAAAATAAAACACCAATTGCGGAAACGAAAAGAAAATCGAAAAAAAAACTTGCCGCCTGACTCTTGTTCGGTCACGTTTTTGCAATATTAATAAAAACCCAAATGGAAAGTAAGAAAAACCTAGCTGAAAATGGCTGCTAGCCTTCATTAATTATCCAGTAATTGAAATTACGAAATTAGACGCTTGTGAAGTCGCTTTTTAAAGATTAAATAACAAAATTATTAATGCTTTCATGAAAATTGTGGTGGATGGTTGAAGTAATTTTTCTAGTCGTTTTTTTAACTCTGATGAATTGCACGATTGCAATTGCAGTCAGTAAACACCCGCCGGCGAAATTGCGCCGCCTCCCAAACCGTTAACTTGTCGCTCAGATAAATGGATGATGCAGCAAAATGAAATACCACGCTAAAATACTCCTACTTAAAAAAAATTTAAAGCAAAATTTTTATTTTTTCGTTTTTTTACTTACAGATAGTGGCGATAGGTGGCGTAATGCGATACTGGAACCTACTACGCGCCGGAATCACCTGGAAAGGACCAGAAGTAATCGAGCTATGATCGAGGAACAACGCCCGGTATGTAAGCCTCAAGTCGTCCTTGGCACGGTATGTACCCCACAGCATGACCCGCCGCCATCACCGCAAGCCACACACGGCCCACCATCGCGGTTGCCGTTGGAATATCGACATGGGCACACTGGAGGAAACCGAAGAAGATGAGCTAGCCTATGAGGAAGACGACGATGATGACGATGATGAGTTGGCCGACGATAGCAACTGCTCCCTGTTGGTGGCGGCACCTTCGTCGCCCACCTCTCTTACCAGTTGCAGCGGCAGTGAGTGCTCCACTGACTTCGTCTGACAACAGAGTGAGGATGCACGCAGTCGCGCAAGGGGATGAAAACTCCTTCGCTGCGTTTAAACAAATAACAAACGCAGAACAAAAGAATGAAGTAAGTGTGTAAGGGAAGTAAGGGGGAAAGAGGAAAAGAGGAAACACTTGTTACGAAGTGCACGCTTTTGAGGACTTTGAAGTTGTTGGTGGAAAGTTTAGACGCCAGCGCGCAAAGTATAATGTTGTTGTATAAAGTGTAAAATTAGATGTTGTTAGCTTTTATGTTTGTTGTTATCGCTAGCGAGAATCGTGCCAAAATGCCAATGTTTATTTTTATGCAGAATCTAAGAATTAACTAAGCAGATAAATCATGTAATTAATGTAAATAAGTAAGGAGGATTAAGCTACACACGAACAAATTGTGATTCAGCTTGGAAATATCCGTAAAATTATTGAGAATCAAAAAAATATATAAAGAATATTGTATACTGAAGTTTGGAAGATGACATTTGAGGTTATGCTCATTATATACATGCTATTTTTGCTAATTTAACTTAATTCTTACAAAATTTACATGAGCAAATAGAAAAACAATAATATATTAAGTATCAAGTGACTAAACGCGAGTTTTTGTCATGAGATTGATTATGAGTGAGTATAGCAAGCGTTTAATCAATCGAGTGTATAACTAACGTTTAGTCACGTGATGCTTACGCTATTTTTTCTACTTCCACTTTAGTTCCACGTTTAGTTTGTGTATTTCAACTTTTTATTTTAAATCTTCGAAATTCGTTGGCAGATTACCGAGAAATGTAAGGTTATAAATACGCAAGCTCCACCCCGTAACTAAAATCCGTGACTAAAGTACTTTAGTTATACCTATGGTCTTTTATGTTTAAAATACCACTTTTTGTGTCTAAAAACCGTTGAAAAACTACCGTTATAAAAGTGGAAGTAGACAAATTTATTTGTTTATTTATTTATTTACCAATAAACTGCAATAGAAAGCAATGGAATGAAAACAAAAATAAAAAAAGAAATTGTGTAAAACGTATTCGATATCTGTGATGTTACCTAACGTAAATAGGCTTAATAAATATGAAATTTATTTTCCGCGCTTTGAAAAATAACATCAATCAGGTACAAGCTAGTCAAATATCAATAAAACAATTTTATTTGAATGAAAACATAAATACAAAAGTAATAAATAAACTAAACTAATTTCATTTTGATAGATTTATTCAATTTTTTGATTAAATTGTTTGTAGCTACATATTTCTACGATAAATATCAAAGTACTTGTAATTTAGTTAAACAAATATCTATCCAAATAATTTTAGGCATCTAAATTGTAAAATATCAGACATAAACAAATAATATATAAATCTATATAAGCATAAAATGTGAATAAAGTTTATAAGGAAACAATTTCGATATTTTTTAATTTTATTTGCGTTAAAAATATTTATAGAGTACTAGCTTTATCCTGCGGCTTCGCTCGCGTTGAATCCATCAAATAAATATTAGAAATCAATGAAGCTGCTTCCGTACGCGTCTGTAGTCATAGAAGAAGTAACAATGAATGAAGTTTATGAAGTTTAAAATGGCTGAAAGTATAGTCTATGGAAGTATAGTGTACATTCTCCATAGCGTAGTCAATTGGATTGAATGTTGACGTAGCTGTCGGTAATACAGTGTGATAATACAGTGTGATGGTACTATAGTACTTAGGTATGAGCTTCATTGCTGGAATGCTAGATGGCGTTAAAGTCGTCAAATAACCAGATGCAGAGGTATTATTGACCAAAAAATTTCTTTATTTTATTTAAAATATAATTTTTTTTATTAAATAAAAAGTGGCCTATAACCTTTCGGGGACCACTAAGAATATGTGTACAAATTTTCATGATGATCTGTTAAGTAGTTTTTGCGTGAAAGCATGATAAACATCAGGACATTCGCATTTATAATATTAGTAGGGATTAAGTAACAAGTAACTAAAGGAGGGCATTTAAATATTTAACGATGTTTAGCCCCGAGGTGCTTACGCCATTTTTTCTACTACCACTCTTGTTCCACGTTGCGGTTTTGGGGTTTCAAATTTGTATTTTAAATCATCGAAATTTGCTCGCATACTTCTACAAACTGAAAGGTTATAATTGCCATGCCGCGTGCTGGCCCATGTGACGCTTCGGTTCATATCGTGCCCCTCCGATACGAGCAGCAGCAGCGTCTGCTTTGACGTGTTTGACTGACGTCGCATGGCATTTCATTCCGCCTTGTGCTGATCCGTAGGCAAGTGCGCAGGCGCTTGCTCCGTTCCATGCATAACGCAAGTACATAATGAATATTATGTACGGCTCGGCTGTCCGTATATAAAGTACCACTTTTGTGTCTAAAAACCGTGAAAAAACTTTTTTGATGAAAGCAGAAAAAATATTTTTTTTGTCTAAACACTAAAGTAAAATAATTTCCTAGGAAAATAAATTATTCCTCTTTATATTCAATTCAAAATTAAAAATTTGAATGTTTATTGTTTGCTCCAGCGTGGCTTGGAAAGATGATGAACGATCGCATTCATGTTGATTTACTCGACCACGTCAACTTTTTCCAGCGTCGCTAAACACGCACATTATAAACCGAAATTAAAATATTTCCATAACAGCGACGCCGCCGACGCACTGTTTATCGCGTTGTTTTTCATCCCTAAGTCGCAAAAGCAATTTAAAAAATTTCATTTAGCGAGATGGATGGCATGCGATGATCAATGAGGTTATGTTATTCAAATAATTTATCAATGTAAGAAAATCTTTTCAAAATATACACCGAAATACAAAATAAAACACAAAAACAATTTTCTTCATTAAATTCAATACGAATCCAGTAAAATGCAGTTGAAATCATGATTTTATTTCATATCGAGAGCAACATCATTAAAGTGACAGCCGAAGTGTGATTTCCGCACGATTAAATCGTCGTAGGAGTATTTGTGACGCCATTAGATTCGCATCCTTTTGCCCGGTTTGCAAAATTGTTAGAAATATCTGTCATCCAGGACGATGGAGTGGAAACCCTCGTTATCCGGACCCTTTTCAATGAATACATGACAAACATATGTTACGATATCATCGTTTTTTTGTACAAATACTTTTAAAATAAAATAAATAAACATTTGTGATGCAGGGGTATTAACGAGGCGAAAATTACGAGATAATGTCGCGATAGGAAGCGCGCCAAAAGCTCTCGGGCATCGATTTTCTTCAATCCAGATACGGATCATCCAGATCCACTTAAAAGAGCGGATTCTAGTCGATTCGCAAAGCCACAGCACGTACACCCACGCCCAGCCACACTCCAACAATATACTTATCTATCCACGACTGTTTTCGTTTCATTTTGTTCTTTAATTGAAAATCCACAAACAACTACACCAAGATACCAAAGAAAAAAAACAATGATATTTCATTAGTTGATGAAATATAGGAAAATGTCTTAAATTTGTCATCATTCATAATAAATTCACAAGAAATAAAGCCGTAAATCCGTAAATATCATTTGTAACACTCAACACTCAAAGTTTTATGCGCCGCAAGATGACAGCAGCGCGTGAAAAATGCTAAAACATTTAGATACCGCTGGAGCTGTTGAAGTTGTTGAAACTTTTGCATCGCGTGTGGGTGCGAAAATGATTTTTTAAAAACCGCCGGATATACGAATGTTGAGTGCCGATGCGGCGCGTGGAGAGTGACGAAGAGCCAAATGGAATGTAATGGATGGCAAGAGGCGCACAAATTAGGATGTAATTAATGATCGCCGGGCGTAAGTGGTGGGCGTGGCGCGGCAGGTTGCATCCGAGCATGTAGCGCCACTCGAGCTGAAATGCTAGAAAGGCATAAATAGAAGTTGAATGCCGAAACGTGTCGACGCTTCCGCACAATCGCAAGCGCAAAACTTCGTCCGACGGGTTAAAGTGATTTAAAACGTGCTGAAAAGTTGAAAAAATAACACAGAAAAACCGCGTTGAGTTTAATTTAAACTTTTACTTTAAACGACCGTCAATTTCAAAGTTTAATTACTGGTTAAAGTGTATTAAATAAATATTTATCCAGAGCACGTTTAAAAAATAATTTTTCTGGTGGATGTGAAAGTTGTTTTTTTACATTAGGCTCTATTATTTGCATAGCTTTCGTTTTGCACGATATTTTTTCACCTTTCAGGCGCGCAAACATTTATTTCACCTTCACCTAAACGCGCACGATTAGAGCAGATTCAAAGCTCACCTCGGCAAAGCTTGAAAGCGCCAGCTGAAGCACGCAAACATGAAAGCCCCAACTGGCGAAACGAGGAGAATTAGCATTATTATAAAAATGTTTGCTTAGGATTGTGCCGGACGATTGGATTTCTCTTATTCAAACAAGCCAGCGACAAAGAGCAGCAAATACAAAAAGCATATAAATACACAAGAAATTCTATAAATCAATTTTTAATCGTAAATCATGACAAGTTTTAAGATGTTTTTCTGTAGATCAAAAAATAGTATAATTGTTGAAAATGCATTAGAGTTTATGCATCGCACGGAGAGGACGAGCACGAACGCTCGGCGAACGTGTCGCCACCGAAAACTGCGTAAGTACTTTCCTCGCAGGCCTGCTGGGCCACTGAGGACGTAGTCACGACGACAAAGAGAATAACAAGGAGTGGAAAACGTACGAAACGTTCCGGATACCTTCGGCTTCCTATATGCGGCATATAAAGTGCACAACTCTGAGAAACTAAAAAAAAACGAAGTAAAGAAGGAAGAATGCCATGGTTGGAAACGTGAGGACGAAATCTAAATCCAACGATAATGATCGATATTTTAGGTTACGTTACTACGTGCCACCTAATAAAAATAAAATAAATAATAAAAACGTTTTTTCAAATATTGAAAAGTAAATAGTTTATTAAGTATCAAGTGGCTAAACGAGAGCTTTTGTCACGAGCGTGGTAAGCGTTTAATGAATCGAGTGTTTAATAACGTTTAGCCACGTGATGCTTACGCAAATTTTTCTACTTCTACTCAATTTCTTCGTTTGAGTTTTTTTTTAACTTTTGTATTTTTAATCTTTAAAATTCGCTCGCATACTACCAGGGAATGTTTGGCTATAAATGCATAAGCTCCACCCCATGACTAAAACCCATGACTAAAGTACTTTAATCACTCCTTTGGCCGTCTATGTTTAAAATTCCACTTTTTGTGTCCCAAAACCCTAAAAACTGACATATTAAAAGTGGAAATAGAAAATATATTTTATTTGCGAATAAAACAGCCAGCACATTGTATAAATCAATGTTTTATTGTAACAAACGTGGCACACTGTGCCGTTCCCGTTCGTTTTGTTTTCTTACCATCGTTATAAATGTGCTTTATGTATTTTTCCGATACGTTACGTATATGAGTTTCTGAGCTTCATGCAAAGCGCTAGAAAACGAATAGCGATGCGAACACGTTTTGCAATATTTATTAGCACAATTTCGTTTTCGAACGTTGCAATATATTACCGGCTGCAAATTTATATTTATCTGCGATACATTATTGCAGAGTTTTACGATTAGACTCAGAAATTCCTGAAATTATTTTTCTCATCATTATTATTATTTCAAATCAATGAACAAAAATAATAAAAATAAATGTATGTGATTTTCGTGCATTGGTCTAACAAGCAAGATTTGTCTGGAATTTTGTTTTGGAACATTCTACATGTTCTCGAAGACATAATTCTTTTGTTCGCAGCGTCTTGTTTTGTTCGCTTTGTCCTCTGTCGCCTTTTCAATTACGATTGCTATTTTCATTTGTTATCTCTGCTAAGAGTCGTATTTAATTTGTACGGTTTTTCATTTCCTTTATTGGCCCTGATTTCCTTGTGTTTCTTTGTCGGGCTTTGTTGTACGCAATTGATTGCGCTACGTAGGTGCTTAATAATAGCTTTTTCCACCATGCGGAGCATTGTGTCCCGTGTAATAGTATAAATTGCTCGCAATGCAAACACACCACTTTCAATCGTCAACATTCATGACAACAAAGCGGTCGAAGTCGAACCCCGATGGCTCCACCCAACGACGATGCGTTGTCGTTGAAATCGGTGAAAATCGGCGTGCGACTTTTGCTCCTCGTCCAGCTCTCCATGTGTTTAATGGTCGAGATTAAGGGACTCAACGCCGATTACCAAAATCTACGCAATGCGGACGGTATTATCAAAGCTAATCACATTCAGGTAGTAACTAAAACATTTCCTAGATTTATTTTAGTTGAAATTATTCCGTAGCCATTGGATAATGAAGAGAATCCGGACGTCAACAAAGACAACATTCCTCTGACGGCGGAAATCAACACTCTCAATCGAGTAGGAGTGGACACAAGCTATGATAATTTCGCTCTTAATGAAATACGTCAAGCATCTCCAGTTGCCAACTCTCAGGAGGGCCAAAGACCGCCGCAGGAAAAAAACACGCGGAACATCAAGAACAACCCGGGTGCTGGAACTTCGGCCGATGGCGTTTGTCACATGGACATCGAGTATAAACTAACAAAGCGTGTCCTCGGGCGGTGCACCAACTTGGGTCGGACAACTCGCGGTTGCATGGCTGGCAACTATTTGCAGATCTACCATTCGGCTTGTTTCTAAAATTCCAAAAATTCCAAACTTTCAAGACGACACTTTGGCGCAGAAAATTTACAGCGCACTATGGCACTATTTCTACTACATAAAATATAAATAAATACACTTTGTAGAATGTAAATTTATCTATAATATAAAAATGAAATGCAAATTATGTTGGAAAGCGCATAACTCAACAACGCCTTGACCAATTTGCGCAGTTCTTTTTTTTAAATGTTCGCTTAAGTTCAAGGATGGTTTTTACGACGAGAAAAATTCGAATAATTGCCGGGAAAATCCTAAAGACTGCCCTTTTCTATAGGATAAAAGTTGGCATTGAGATTCAATCATAGTTATAGTTAAATAGTTGAATCCGAGATGGCGCGCTGAAGTGCATTATTAGCTATTCTTTATATAATTAATTTTTTTTTAATAAAATTGCGAATCTTATTGAAAGTATTGACACATATTATGTCTAGAACAAGAGAGTAAAAACGAATTACATTTTTAATAAACACTACCGAGACGAAGTCGCTGGCAAAAGCTAGTATTTATAATATAAAAATTGTTAAATCTGTTGGTAAGCGCATAACTCAACAACGCCTAGACCAATTTGGCTAATTCTTTTTTTTTTAATGTTCTTTAAAGTCCAAGGATGGTTTCTACAGCAATAAAAATTCGAATAATTGCCTGGAAAGTCCTAAAGACAGCACTTTTCTATAGGATAGAAGTTGGCATTGAGATTCAATCATAGTTATAGTTAAATAGTTGAATCCGAGATGGCGCGCTGAAGTGCATTATTAGCTATTCTTTATATAATTAATTTTTTAATAAAATTGCGAATCTTATTGAAAGTATTGACACATATTATGTCTAGAACAAGAGAGTAAAAACTAATTACATTTTTATCAAACACTACCGGAACGAAGTCGCAGACAAAAGCTAGTGATAAATAAATAACGGAAAAATGTTGTGTGAGTTGTTTTGTTAAAACCCTAAAAGAAAATACAATTTTATATGCCATTGACGGAAATTGCCCGCGAAGATGAAATGTTGTAGTAGAAAATTTGAATAAAAATGAAATTCACTCCCGAGTCAACTCGTTTTTGATTCCGTGAGAGGGTGATGACGACGCCGGGAAAGCCGCGACTAAATCATCGGGAAACTCTGACAGTCTAACGCAAATAGGGAAAAAATTGTAACGCGTAAAGAGCGGAAAAAGGCGAACGCAGTCAATAACGGAGCGATAATTGACGGTCGTATACATACATAACGACGAGAGCTATATGCGTACCAAGATGCGGGACAAACCGGAAAATAAATGGCTTGCTTTTTGCCAAAGACCACCCACGACCATAATACATGTTTTATTTATATATAGTTATAAAGAAATTCATAACTTTTATGATTTATACTTGTTCATCTTCTTTGTGTTCTGAATATAAAATTATTATTACCGATATTTCTTTGAAACTTTTATTAAAATTGAACAAAAAAATAAAAAGAAAAAAATGTGAAACTTGAGTCCAATCATATTTGCTTCCAATTTCCATTAGGATAATACATGCTTCCTATCAGTCAATATAAAATCATAAAAAAATAATCCGGAGAATATAAGCTGAAAAATAAAAAATTCAACAAAAAAAATTTTATTTTGTTTTTTATATTTTTTATTATATATTAATGAATATAAGCATATACATTAGATCCAGGAACATCATTCAGTTTGTTGTCTTGATTAACGTCGGAAGTACCGGAAGGAAAGCGCCCGACGGAAGCCAAACGGAAGCAGGCACGCAAATAGCTTTCATGTTAATTGCCAGATAAAGCTAATTCAATTAAGCGGCATTAAAACTTGCTAAACGCTAAAACTATCGCCGCGTGCATTTTACCAAGCGCAAAGTTTCTGCAAGTTAACTGTAAGCTTTCGGTGCTTTCACTGCGCCATGTTCCGTCCTTTATTCTACCTTTAAAGTTACGTGGACATTCATGTTTCCAGCGGAACGGAAGGTGATAACTTCCAGTTGCCAACTAATTGTATTTCACTTCTCGCTAGAATGAGTTGCTTAAGTTTTACTACAATCACGAGTGGGTGATTGTACATCTTAAGTTAATCGTTTTAACTTGTCGTTAACTTAATTTTATTCTGCGCAGAGTTTGTTTTTTGAAATTTTGTGGATATTTTGGAGTTGTATGCATGTAGTACATGTGGGTGACAGGAAATAATGAAAAAAATAAATCCTGCTGTCTTTCAAGTACGTGTCTTGTTTCGTCTTGTTTGAGCCAGTTTATTTGTTACGCTTGAATTGGTCGAGACGAGGGCGGCGCGGAAGAAATGGCAGAAAGATAAGAGCCTTCCTGTCGGCCCGTCGGCTTTGTTGCCCCGTCGATGTTCTGACAGCTGCAAGCCGGAAAGCAAGTCGGCGGAAAACTATAAGTAACATTTTGGGAACATGACAGGCACAAGGAAAAACAGGTGGAACTCACAGGAAAATGTTTTGAATAATCGTAATTGGGGAAAATTAATTGTGAGTATAACAGGTATTATATACTGATTAACATGTTAGATCTAATTTTTAATAAAGTGTCATTTTGAGATATAGTTGTTTTCATCACAAAATTTTAGAAACCTTTAAAAATACAACTTTTAGCTGGAATTTTATTGCACTTCCGGCAATTTTAGAACCAAGAAAGGGCACGCATATTTTAGCAAGTTTCTTTGAATGAAATATGCTGATTAGAGACCTAAAATAGCCTAAAATTTACCGGAAATACAAGCGTTTTCTACATATGCCATTATTACCATAGTTCCATAATATATTTAACAATATCTGATTAAATATTGTGATTATTAAACAACAATAAAATTAAATACCTAAAATCATGTTTTCTCTTGACATCTAAAATGAAAAATTTTAACTTTAAATAGTTATTTCTTCAGTAGAAGTGATTGAGTAAAGTTTTCCGAGTGAAATATCCGTCAGAACGTGACATAGAGCGACATCTCATGGCAGGAATCGTAGTTATTATAGTAAACTTCTAATAATTTAAATAATATTAGCATCAAATTATAATGAATTTAGTAAAACCTGAATTAAAATCTTAAGCAACTTGTTAATTTATTATCCAGTTACAGCCGAAGAGGACTCATGACACTGATTTTAGTATACATGTCAATATCAGCATAGAAACTGAATTAAGCCGATGCATGTGGGAGATGTTTTGATGACTTGGACGGTTCTTATTCGTTCCTCCGTCGGCTTAACTGTAGCTATTATTACAACATTACGCCGATCAGCAAACTAGCTTCCAGTCAGTCTTCCAGTGTGCTGGTAAATCGCCGGTTAACGCGTAAGTACTCAAATTACTACTGCTTGCATTTTGCACGTATTTTTTAGGTTACCACGTACATACAAACGCTTCTACTCTTCACTAATTTAATTTAATATTAATTAAAAAGCTGTATATCACAATAATAATAATTCTGCAATTACTCTACTTATTCAGTGCACTAGCAGAGAGCATGCACGCATTTATTTTTAGTTTATTATGTTTAACCCAATCACAAACTGCCACATCTTCCTTTCCTCTATTTCATAAATGTTAAAAGTAAAATTAAAATTAAAATCAAATCAATGAATGTTTTTTAAATTTAAATATTATTCTTCTAGAATATTCTATGGAATATTCGATAATTTTTATCTCACAGCACATGCTTGTGCTTTTTAAGATAAGCTGAGATGATGTCAATGCCTGTTAGCCCACAGATGATTTTCTAATCAACTTGGTGCTAAACAAGCCATCTTTCAGTCTCAGTGTGGGTGTTTTACTACACTTTGTGTCTTTAGTAATGAACTGGTGACTTAATCTAATTGAGTTTGTGTTCAATTGCTTTACAGATTACAACAATGAAGGAACTTTACTGCTTTGTGGTGACTATTTTTCTCATGACTGTTGTGGCTATCCCACAGTCAGGTACACATGAGAAAAAAGAAAGAGTGCATGATGCCAAACTCAGTGGCCAAGAACACTATCAGAATGAGCAGCACAATACTCAGTATGATCATGAAGCCTTCCTGGGTGAAGATGCTAAGAGTTTCGAGAGTTTGCCACCTGAAGAATCTAAAAGGAGACTAAGGTTTGTTTTTTACAATTTTGTTAATAAATTTTATAATAAATCACTTGTTACAGTGTAATTGTTGATAAAATCGACACAAACGGTGATAAAATCGTCTCTCTAGAAGAATTAAAAGACTGGATTCGTTTCACACAGAAACGCTACATCATGGAAGACGTAGAACGTCAATGGAAGCAACACAATCCAGAAAACAAAGACACCATTCCATGGGAAAACTACAAGAAGTTAATCTACGGATTTCTCGACCATATGGACCAAGCTGAGCTCGAAAAAGAAGAGGAAGGCTTCAGCTACATGTCGATGTTGAAACGTGACAGGCGTCGTTGGCAAGCAGCTGATACCGACGGAGATGAAGCACTTACCAAGGAGGAATTCGCGGACTTTTTACATCCAGAAAACAGCGAACGATTGAAAGAAATCGTTGTCGTTGAGACGATGGAGGACATCGACAAAGACAACGACGGTAGAATCTCCGTTTTGGAATATATCGGTGATATGTACAAGGCTGACGAAGGCGAGGAAGAACCAGAATGGGTCAAAACAGAACGTGAACAATTCAAACTGTATCGCGATCGCGATGGTGACGGTTTCATGGATCAGGATGAAGTAAAGACGTGGATCTTACCGCCGGATTTCGATCATGCCGAAGCTGAGTCAAGGCATTTGATTTATGAAGCAGATACCGATGCTGATCAACAGCTGAGCAAAGAGGAGATACTCAATAAATACGACTTGTTTGTTGGTTCGCAGGCTACCGATTTCGGGGAGGCATTGTCACGACATGATGAATTCTAAGATGTTTTGCACGTTTATGAAATGAATCAACTTTAGATCAAGCCAAAATTAATTTACTGCATGTTTACTATTTCGGTTCCTGATTAATTAATGCAGTACTTAGTATTTAAGCAAATGTGTTCAATACCATAAATATTAATTTCAATTATCGCTAGTAGATGTCATGGTAGGTATTATTTCTGGCTTTTAATGTGCATTTATGATTTTTATTACTCGGATTAATGCAATTTGTATTTTTATAGCATTTTTATGTAATTAAAACGAAAGATCTGAACTAAAACAAATGTACTGAGGAGGAAATTTGCAATTCTCATCTAGAATAAGGTAAAACAGTTATATCAAGAAAATATTGTATGTTCTATTAGGTTATGTTGTACCATTCTTATTTTCATTTCTGTAAACAAACAATGAGTTTAAACGTTTATCAATTTGATTTTGGATAAATAACTATCAATATTGTGCGGACAGGTGTAAAAATAAAACACAAACATTTGTATAACAAAAAGACAACATTTAATTTATTTAATGATTTTATTTTACATTTTTCCGCATTTTCTCCTCTTAATTCAAGCAGAAATCTGTATTTAACTTTGCCAAATCCATTTATTCCAAATAACTAATAGAGTTTTATATTTCTGCATCAGTTTTTGCCGTTTATGCTTTGTTTCAGCTTCGTATAACTAATCGCTTAAATAATATGTACACATGAATATCGTATTCATAAGTTAACTTAATTAAAAATTTGTTATCAGTGAATAATTACAATCGTATCGTTAGTAGCTTAAATTTATCGTTTATACTTACACGTGTTCGTCATTAATAACACATAATTTACATAATAATTAACAAAGAGCAAACAATAACAGCAATATTTGTACAAATCATAATTTGAGTTACACGTTTTACGTATATTAACTTAATTGAGAATAAAACATTCAAATGTATTGCAGTTTGTATAATATTTATGATGATGGCACTGAAATGTTTCGAAAATGACTAAATCCTTTGAAAATATTGTTAAAACTAACGCAATAATGCATAAAAATGAGATATGTATCCTTTTTGCATTTGTATTCATTGTTCTTATAAACTTCTGTGTCAATTGGAAATAATTTGATGCTTTTATCTATTGGTTCATCTAATTAGTTCATATTTACATAGTGTCTTTCATCATCGTGCGATACTGTGATGTCGATTTGTTTCTCGCCTAGCTTTCGATCACAGCCTGGACATTAACTTGTAAATCGTAGTTTAATAATGAGAATCTCAGTGGGTGCCGTATACTGTATCGCCATTTTACATCATCGTATTTGAACGTGCCTCGAAACATTTAAACAATAGTCAAACTATGTACATTGTACAAACATGATTTAAAGAAGATCAAATAAGTCGACAACGCCGCCATCTTGTCGACAATATTTACAAACTGTGTTTTTGTATTCATTCGTATACGTTTCAATATTTTTCGTCACGTTGATAGTCATTTGTTATTGTTATTAAAGATTAGACAGTTTATGTGTTTGTTTTTGGATTGGACTAGCACATTTCCACTCGATGTGAGTACAAGTCAACATTACGTAAATCGCATTTTAATTCTTCGTTGGAATGATTGGCACGGTCATTGCGTGGCCGTTGGTAAGTCGAGCGTCTCGGAGTCCGGCGAGCCGTAGCCGCTGGAACCGTCATCGCGTTGGCTACTGGGCGGCGGCTGTGGCCCTAGGTGCTGGTGGCGGTGGTGGCGCCCCACCGACTCCGGCGCCGACGACGACGAGCTCTTCTCGCTGCAACACGAAGCAGACGGTGCGGTCAGTGCGTGCGGATGCAAGCCGTGGGTGTGCACGTGCGCCGGGTGCAGTGGCGTCGTGCCACCGCCTCCGCCGCACTGCAGCTGCGCTAGTGTCACGTCTCCGATTGCCGACTGAAATCAAGTGCATTTCGTTTTTCAATTTCACTCCGAACGCATCCAAGCACTTTTATATCTTTAAATCTAAGTGTGAATGATGTCGAAACTAGTGGATTGTGTAATGAATGAGGGTGTAATGTCGAAATATAATGCGAATTATGTTGAGGGGTGGCGGTGGGATGCTTGTTTGCTAAAGGTATTTTCCTGTATGGCCATTACCTGTAAATTATTGACTTGCCTTCGTATGTGCGCCAAGCTGCTGGGATTGTACGCCATGTTGGCGAACACGAGGCGCTCCTCGTAATCGTACTCGCAGAGAATTTTATTGTCGCAGAGGTAAAATCTATCGCCCACGCAAAACCTGTAATAAATAAACATTTGTAACAACTCAGATTTACCTCATTATATAACAACAATACAACAAAACACGTTTCTTAAATATTTCACAGCAATTAAAAGCAATTAGAGGCGCTTGCTGATGAAATTTCGTAATGACCGTAATGAGTTCAGACCTCGCGCGCCATTAGTTCCAATTTGGTTGAATTTATGCGCAACTGTCTTGCATTGTATATATAGATATAAATTGTGTTGATTTTGGCGTGGGATTTCGGTGGCTGTTATTAAAGCTCGTTTGTTGCATGTTTGGGGCGGCGCGTTCGGCATGCCGCACATGTTTCGGCATTTTCATTCTGCGGCTCGCCAGAATTTCCAACGCTAAGGATAATTGCAGAATGCATTCGTTGCGCGAAGGAATTTCTACATTCGTGTAATTCAAGAGCAGAATTTCAGTAATGACCTAAATGGCCCTAATGCCATCTATGGCACTAATTCACTCAGAATGAGATAGAATTAGACTTTGGACAACATTTTTGATACATACCGGTGGTTACACTGCTGACACGCAAAACACTCCAGATGATACACATTGCTTTTTGCGCGCATTACCATCTCGAATGCCGGTATCACTTTGTTACACGCTGCGCAATAACCAGTCGTGCCGAATAATCTAAAACATATTCATTGTTGTATTGGATTTTTTAGGTTAGGTTAGGTTATTCTATAGTTACCTAAGATAATCACGTTTGCATAGAATAAGATCGGCTTTCGTGTATAACGTGGATCCAACTTCACCAAGCCGACAGTCACAGCAGCCACACTTGAGGCAGTCCTCATGCCAGAAGAGGTCGAGGGCTTTCAGCAGGAAGCGTTCGGTAATTCGCTTGCGGCAGCCGGCGCATTCGCGCACGCCGCCCCCGTTGAGCGTCGCCGTGTTGGCCGACAACGAAACAGATCCGCTCGTCGCCACCGACGTCGTCGTCGTTCTTTGCTCCCCTCCTGACTCTGCGAAAACGCACAAAATTCATTATTAAACATTTTACACCCAAAAAACTAATTTCAAACGAATTAAAACACAGCGAGCAGAAAAACGCAGTACGTTGTGATGTCAAATAAAGATACGTCTAGCATTCTGGCGTGTTTTGGGGGGCGAGTCTCGTTGATGGTTTTAATTATATGCAAATTGGATTTGCTTAAATTACTCGCAACGTCGCAACTCGATTCATGAACGATGAATAGCTTACGCCCCGGCATTATACACGTTCATTACGAGTACATACAGCATGTTGCCGATCAAGAGCATACTTTACTAATAATCATTTTAAAAAACCGGCTACAATCACGCGGCCTGAATTGAAAATTGATTAAAAATCGCGTGTGTTGGTTACAGTTTGGAAGAAGCGCGCATTTTTGCGCAGTACGTGAAGAAATTCAGTCGGTAGGCAGGCGGTGGTGGCAGTGTACAAAGCCAATTTTAATTAAAGCGATAATTAAAAAAGATAGGTATCTATTCTTCGCCCGGTGCGATGCTCGCGATGTACACGCGTACACGACGGTGCAAAACAAGCAACGAGAAGCGCGAGGGGTAGTAAAAAGTGTCGGTGGGGGTGGGAGAGAATCAAACTGTAAACGCAGCGCCTGCACATTCAACGAGCGGGAATAAAGTTTGCCAACTCCACTGCAAAATGCTAGGAAACAAAGTTTTTATGGGTAGTAAATGGGAGAATTTAATTTGATTCGTTTTTTTGTTTGTTTACTACGGGTTTTAAGAGTGTGTGCGATTTAGATAATTGTCAGACAGTGGAGAAGAATACAATGAGTGTAAAATAATGTTTTGAGTGTGAATACTTTGAATATACCATACGCTAGGCAACCAGCATTACATGTCAATACTGGTGTCAATATATATTTTCATTATACAACACGCTAGGCAACCAACATTGCATGTTACTACAGTGCTGCCACCATTCCAATGTGCGGCTATAGAATAACATGTCATTTTTGGCTCATGCGTATATTAAAAATAAATTTTATGTTTTTAGTAAGAAAATGTGTATAAAACAATGTTTTGAGTTTGAATATTTCAAATTCACAATACGCTCGGCTGCATTTTGTGTTAATTCATTAACGCCTGCTTCCGCATCGTGCATTTCATTAGCAATCCGAACAAATACGCTTTACTATTTAGAGCTGAGCCGTTGTTATTCCCGCAGCTTTCAAAGCAAACACAAATGTTTAGGGTAATAATTATCAACCAATTGTACAACCAACAAATCAACTGCATGTGTTCTTTTCCCTGCCATTTTACAGCTAGAATGCTGACATGCGTACGTCTGAAATAAAAACCATCGCAACAAATCGCTGTTCGAAGAGCTTCGCGCAGTGGCGGCACTAATTCAACGTGAAATATATTTTGCTTCGATTTTCCGCCGCCCGCCCCCGAGACGCTTCAAGCATTTCAACGCGATCCGTTCTGAAGGTGTGTGTATAATGCGCGCTCGTAAATTCGACAAAGATTTAAGGACGCCGCAGCGAAAAATACTTTAAACTACTTTATTATCGACTGCACACTTTTCCGAAAGTACTTTTTGCGCTTAGGAGCGCTCGGGGGATAACAAACAAAGACATAAATCGCTCTTTTTGATGATCATGCGGATGCCACTCGTTATACGTCCGCATTACATGTTACTGCAGTGCTGCCATCATTCAAAGCTGCTGCTATACAATAAGACTGGTCATTTTGACGCATGCGCACTGAGCAAATCAGACACAAATTTGATATTTTGACTAAGACGCAAAGTGCAACAACGTTTTACTAATTTAGATCAACATCTGCATATCGGAGTGGGATCGTAATGCGCGTCCGGACAAGTTTCCGAAACGGAAATGCAGGATGACGTGTCGAAACGTCGCCGCCACGCTCCCGATAGTGCCGAATTGTGTACCTACCTTCGCGAATCATCTTCAGCTATTAATACATTAAAGCAGGCGACAAACGCGCGCTGACAACTCCACCCCCGATCCTTCTCTTATCGGAAATTCGTCCTTCATTTCCTAATTACATGGATGGCGCTGATAACAGTCGTCAACTTAATGATGTGACGTTCGCGCGGATTCGGAAATTAGGAAAAGCCATTATTTGCGTTAAATATTCATTTAAATTTGCATAAATCGGCGAAACTTATGTGCGGATATTTTAAGTCGAGTATTGAGGTTATCAAAATGTCAAAACTCCATTAAAATAATTAGATCTGCATAGTAAATCAGCCCGGAATTGTATTTTTAGACATTTTTGTTAAATTTAATTTGTTGCAAACACAAAATGTTCAATATACACAAAGTTTACAAGTGCTGTTTGCCGCTGGGGAATGAATTAAAATGAATTAAACATAAGCGTCGTAAACGGAAAGCAATTTTATAGATTGAAAACCGTTTCCTTTGGTAAACTAAATTGGATTATTATTTAAATTCCACGCGTACTTAAATATATTAAATTGGTATATTGTGTTTCAGTGCATTTGCTGTAAAATACAAGCAGTTTAACAAACAAAAACGACGATTTCATCATATCATATCATTTTCATGATGACTGATGCGCAAACACACGTGACCTGTGTGCGCGTGTAATTCGTGTGTAAACCACCTCGAAATCACAAGCAAACACATCATAAACATCACGCACTCAGAGACGCTTTACACACCTTCTTGCGGGCTGGACGTGTGTGCACACCGATTCGGGTTATGTAAATGCAATCAATTAGTCGAGACACCTTTTTATTTGCGCTCGCAATTAGAGTACGCGAGCATTTTATTTCTCTGCCCACATTTCATACATCTAGTTATCACGGTGAGTGTATGTGTGTGCTGTGCGTGCGTTTGTGTAAATGTGCTGCACTCGGGCGAGCAGAATGTAGCAGCAAATTACAGACGTGAATTATTTACGACTCGCATTTAGCGTTTAGCCGTTTACGGCGCGGATTGTGAATGTGCGATGCGCGCAGCGCACAAAAAGGGACAATTAACACTTTTCAGGCTGCTACATGCGTTCAGTTTTAGAGCATGCATCGCAAATTAGCACTTAATTATTTAATTATTTATTTATGATGCATTACGTTGTAAATTGTGAACTATTCCACATTTAACGCATTGATTTCAACAAGAATACAAATATAAATTAAATTAAAACTATTTTCAGCCGAATTACAAAAGTAAAATTATATTATTTTGTGTTATATACCTGTGTAGAATAGATATTGAGTCCATAGAATATCAGAACAATGTTTATTTAAGTTTTTTCTTGAATATTTGAGCCCGAAATAAAGTTTCTCAGGAAGTTCCTGATTTTACCTACAGAGGGCGCTAGTAGTGTTAAAAAAAGATTTATTTTTATTATACAACTCTCAAATCTAATTAATAAAACAATTAAATAGTAAATGTTGTATAATTAAAACACAAAGTGGAAAAAAACATCAAAACAATCGTAAAACAAACACGTTTCGATTTAATTGCTTGAATAATCAATTAAATAATTTAATTGCGTTGTTCCCCGTTTATCCCATACACTTTTCAATTTGATTATATAAAAAACACACAAACACAAACACTCCACTTGAATCCAGTTGGTATTTAATTATGATTATACTAATTTATTAATTTTGTATAATTACGCAGCGCATTCTACGCATTCAATGCATGACTGCATTGAATTATGATGTACGGAGGTAATTAATTAAATTTTCCACTTGATGCACACACAACATTATCAGTATGCGCGCGTATTAAATTAAATAATAAACATTATATAAGTGGAATGTAATTAATTCCGCGCGCAAATAATTTCGAAAATTATTCCACTCTCTGGATATCATCAAGTCACAAATCACAAATCAACATTAATATGAATTTATCACCAAGCGCGGATGGTGTAAGTTAGGGTGGTGTTGTTTCAAAGTGAATTATTAGTTTATTAGCTTCTGACTGGCGTGGGCTAATAAACTAATAACACGGCGCGTGCTGATTAGGGCACTAACAGCCGTCTAAATGATAGTTACTGCCAATGCAGCCTCTGAGAGTCCTGATAATGGCATGGTATTGGATTTGGGATGATGGTGGTCCCTGTATGCAAAGCTGCGCCTCTTGCACTTAGTCTCGCATCACAATTACAGGGAGTCTAATGGTTTATTAGAAGCAAGAAGGATGAAGGATAATTAATATACCTAAGTGCTACCTAAATATACCTAAATATAGTTTATACTAGTTTTTGCCCACGACTTCGTTTCCGTAGTGTTTAATAAAACTGTAATTCATTTTTATTCTCCTGTTCTTTAGAAAAGGACTGTTTTTTGGGTTTTCCTAGCAATTATTCGAATTTTTTCGGCGTAAAAACCATCCTTGGACTTTAACGAACATTTTAAAAAAAGAATTGGCCAAATTAGTCCAAGCGGTGTTGAGTTATGCTCTTACCAACAGAATTTTGCAATTTTTATATTATAAATACTAGCTTTTGCCCGCAACTTCGTTCCGGTAGTGATTAATAAAAATGAAATTCGTTTTACTCTCTTGTTCTAGACATAGTAAGTGTCAATTCTATCAATAAGATTCGCAAGTTTATTTTAAAGAAATTAATTATATAAAGAATTGCTAATAATGCACTTCAGCGCGCCATCTCGGATTCAAATATTTAACTATAACTATGATTGAATCTCAATGCCAACTTTTATACTATAGAAACAGGCTGTCTTTGGTGTTTTCCCAACAATTATTCGAATTTTCCTCGCCGTAAAAACCATCCATGGACTTTAACGAACATTTAAAAAAATAATTGGCCCAATTGCTCTATGCGTTGTTGAGTTATGCGCTTACCAACAGATTCTGCGATTCATTTTTATATTATAGATTAGTTTCAAAACAAAACGAAATTTTTTACTTGTGGACAAACAATAAACTATTTTCAAACATTTATGGTTGCTGGTAAATGTCAAGATGTGAACCATTTAAGTGTGAAA